GGCAGGGCTCCGTTAACCGTGCCACATTAATTAAAACAGCCCATTCTGTGCAGAAATAAAGGCGAAAAGTTCCTTGAAGTCTTCAGGATGCCAGGGGGCGAGCAGAGGTCCTGCTGTGGGGCGGGGGAGTGGGTGTCTGTGGGGGGGGGGAGTGGGTGTTTGCCGAGCTGGCTGCGGGAGGAAGGGGAGAGCACCCCGGGATGCCCAGTCGCAGGAGAGCAGCGACGGCCAACACTGCCCGCGGTCGCCAGCAAAGCCAAAACACCAACGAGCCTCTTACCAGGGTTAGGAGGTTGCTCGGCCACCGCGGCCCAAGGGTCGGTAGCCGGTGTAGAACCCGAGACCTGGGCGGAGGGAGATGCCGACACCCAGGGGTCCGTGGGAGGGAAGCCAGAAGACATGGGTGCCTTCCCCCAAGGGTCAGAGGCTGCAGTGGTGCTGGGAGGAAAATCCCAGGGCCCGGCAGAGGTTTGCTGGGACGAGGCGCTCGCCTGGGAGAGGGGCTCCCCGCTGGCAGCTGGGACCGGCACCCAGGGGGCAGCGGCCCAGGCGGAGGCTGCCGGCTCTGCTTTGGGTTTCATGTCTGAAAGAAGAAGGGAAGCTGTGGAAGGGTGCAGGGCACAGAGGGATGCTGAGCAGCAAGGATGCACCCAGGGGACCACAGCTTCCAGCAGCACCGCCCAGGCGTGCAACGGACCGGGCAGTGGAGGGAGGAGAAGCACGAGGTCCTTAATGTTGAGCTCCTGGGGACTGGGGAGGGACAAGAGGCAAGGGAGAGGTTTCTGCCACTGTCCCAGGCTTTGGCAGCCTGCGAGTTGCCCCCACCTGGCATATCCCACGGGTCGGCAGACGTGTGGCTGGCGGGGGCTGGCGCTGGCCCGAATATATCTGCCAGCTCCAGGATGGAGGACTGCAAACAGAAAGGGAACAAAGAGGTGAGGGAAGCCCAGGGCAGACCTGCAGGATCACCCCAGAGCCCAAGGCTGGCTGTGTGGCTGTCCAGCCCCCCAGTGCTGTATGTACCTGGCTTTTCTTCATCTTGTCTTCTTCCTCCTCTTCCTCCCTGCCCTGGGCAGTCTCCTCCACGGTTCTCTGCAGCAGGGAGTTCTCCCCTTGCCAAACCCTCACCTCCTGTGGGGACAAGGGATGGGATCCATGAGCTCAGCAGCCCTGCATCCAGAACCTTCTCCAGGAGACAGACCTAGCACAGGAGCTGCCACCGCATCCCCGAGAAGTCCCAGCGTCCCAGCAGACGGCTCCTCTGGGGCCGAGCCCACCGGGAGAGTGCTCAGCAGACAGCCCCAGAGCAGGGAAAGCAAAGCAGACACCAGAGCAAGGCGGCGTTTTGGGCGCCAGTACCCCAGAGAGAAGCCCAAGTGCGAGGAGAGAGGAGCACCCGGGGCTGCGGGGCACAGGTACCTTCTCGTGCTCCTCTTTGCTCAGCGCGAGCGCTAGCTGCAATTGCCTTTCTTCGTCTGTACTGGAAATTGGAGGAAGTGGCTTCTGCCAATAGAGGAAATTGGGTGACATTTCAGCTTGCCCTCAGCTCATGGGGCTGCTCAGAGGTCCCCGTCCTCGCCACCACCTTTCCTTCAGCCCCTCGCCTGCCTGCGCAGCACCACTGCGCCTGCCCAGCCGGCTTTGCCTGCGGACCCCCAGCCCACTGCCCCCAGAGTCTTTGGGCCTCCTACGTGGGCATTGCCCCAGCTCCTTCCCCTGCTCCATCACCTGCCACAGCATCCAGGCTGGGATGACCCTAAAAGAGGCAGCCAGCATCTCCCCCATGAGGTTTTGGGGGGCTCTGATGCAGTCTGCAGAGGGGATGGATTGTGTCCCCTCGCCCCAGCAGCCAGCTGGGGAGGAGAGTTGGTAACACCCACCAGCCTTCACCTGGGACTCCTGCCTGGCCCCACTTTGCTGAGGGAGAAGCACCCAGACCTGAGGTAGATTTTGGAGACAGACTGTCCCCACACCCCTACAGCAGCCCTGATCGCTGCCCCGTGACCCTTGTCCAGCACCGTGGGACCAACCAGGGCTGGGAACGGGGACCCCGGTGAGAGTGTGCGAGCGTGCACACCTGTACAAGTGTGCGCAAGCGTGCACAGCCCAGGCGGACTCCAACAGGCAACTCTTTCCATAGCATGTTCCTACAGTGCTCATCGCAGCAGCATGTGAAAGCTATAAATACTCCAATTCCAGGACAAAAATAGGGATATACACTCTGCTCCGTCTCCAAAAGACCCATTGGGCAGGGAAGACAGGCAGCGGCAAGTGTCATTGCCGAAGTACATCCCCTGCCCCGGCAGGGCCGAGCTCACGGTACTCGGTGCCTGCCCCTTGGTCACCACGTCCCCCTGACTTTGTGTGCCCGGCCGTACGCACGCGCTCCACGCAGGCCGTGCCAGTCGGCGGCAACCTCAGCCGGTGCGCAAATAAGCCGTCCCTGGTGGAAAAGGGGCCGTGGCCAGCAGACAGGAGAGGGGACAGCCCTGGGGGAGGTTTTGCCGTTGGGGACAGTGGCTTGCTTGCTGCCTGCATCCCTGCTTGGGTCCAGGCCAAAACAAGGTGCTTCCTGGGCTGTTTTTCAGCATGCCCCCAACCTGGCACACATCCCAGGGATGCTGCTGGCAACCTGCAGCACTGAGCAAGGCGTCAGCGCCACGGGAAGGCAAAAGAAATCAGGGAGCTTAGACCGGAAGCCCTTGGCAGGAGAGGGCAGCCAGGTTTGTCGGGGTTGTGCTGCAGCCAGAAGCCTCCTCCCAGCTCACTTGGGTCTGGGAGGCTGGGTGAGTCTCAGCCTGGTGCTGTCCCCACCGGTACGAGAATGGGGAGCAGGGACAGCCCGTATTGCTGCTGGTGATTTGGGGCGCCGGGCACAGTGTGAGCAGCCTGGTGTGGTTGCAGGTGCGTGCACTGGCCTTGGTCAGTCCCCCAAATCCTCCCTGCTGCCAGGGAGATGACCCGCCATGCCTGAAGACAGGGCAAGGTGCAGGGAGATATCTGGCCTCGCACACCCTGGGATGGCAGAGCCGCCCTACCTTCTCCGCCTCCTCCCGACTCATGGCCAGCGCAAGCTGCAGCTGCAGCTCCAAAAGCCCCCCCTCGCCCGTCGTCTGGGGCCTCGCTTTCTCCAGGTCAGAGGCAAGGCAAACCGTTGAGGATGATGCTGAGAGATAACAGAGGAAAAGTGGAAGAAGCAGCATCAGGACTGGGGTATTTCAGGGAGCACCATCAGCAGCCTCTCCCAGGCCCCATCCCAACACCCACAGCCCCACAGCGTGGCTTCCCCAGGGGTCAGAGCCCCACATGAGAGCTCCCCCCCACGAATGAGCTGTGGGTTTAAGGCTCAAGGCACTGAGGATGATGCTGAGAGATAACAGAGGAAAAGTGGAAGAAGCAGCATCAGGACTGGGGTATTTCAGGGAGCACCATCAGCAGCCTCTCCCAGGCCCCATCCCAACACCCACAGCCCCACAGCGTGGCTTCCCCAGGGGTCAGAGCCCCACATGAGAGCTCCCCCCCACGAATGAGCTGTGGGTTTAAGGCTCAAGGCACCACCAGCTGCCACCATTGCTGGGGTTCACCGCCGGCCCAGCCAAACCTCTGTCTGCGGCGCAAGACGGAGCTGGGCATTGCCACCCCCCCAGAAAGGTGGTGGGCAACGGCGGGCACCAGGCAGGTGCAAACAGAACGCAACGCCAGTCTCCGCCCCGCAGTGAGCCTGAGTGAGCCCAAGCGAGCCGCCAGCAACACTCACAGTTAAAGGAGGAGGGCGAGCCCCGCGCCCGGCCATAGTCGTCGCCGTAGGGCGATGCACGGCGGCCGTAGGTGGCCTGGTGGCTACCGCTGCCCATGCCCTCAAGGGCCATGCGCTCCTTGGTCTGCAGCGCGTGCGCCCGCTCCTGCTTCAGCCGTTCCTCGTCCTTCAGCAGCGCCATCACCTGCTTCACCTTCTCCCGGATGTTGATGCCCTGGTCCTTGCCGTCACGGTCCACGTACTGGAAGTCCTTCAGCGTCTGGATGGTGTAGAGGTTCTCCCGGCACTGGTGGGTCACCTTCTCGGAGCCGGTTTTGATGAGGTAGTCCAGGAGGGTGAGAGCCTTGTAGACGTGACGCCAGTTCTTGCCGCTGTCGTTCAGCCGCCGCCAGATCATGCCCATGACCTCGGCGAAGGCCACCGTGTTGAAGGTGAGATCGGCGATCTCCGACATCAGGGAGCTGGGGGGGCCCCAGGGATCATTGGAGGTGGCTTCCCGCACCTTGATCTCCGCCTCTGAGTAGTTGTGCACGATGTTTTTCACCTGCCGGCGCAGCGCCGAGGTCGTCATGGCTGCACGGTGCCAGAGACCCACCGGCAGCGGGGAAGGGATGGGTGCTCACGGCCTCACCGGCACCTGCAGTGGGGAACGGGGACACAGAGACCTCAGCATTGCTCCAACTGCCGAGACCCATCCCCAGAGTCCCTCGAGACACTGCTCAGGGTGGAAGCACCCATCGTCGGGGCGTCAGGTGCACCCCGCTGGGCTGCCACCGCACACAAACCCAAAGACACGTGGGATGCAGGATGCTCAAGGGGGAAAAAAAATCTCATAGCCAGGCAATACCCAGCACCACCGAGCTGCCAAGAGGTTTGGCTCTGGATTCAGCAACATTTGGAGGAGATTTTACCCTGCATTTCTGCTTCTAAAAGTAACCACCTGAAAATGGCAGCTCCCTCCTCCAGACTCACCGTCCTGGCAAAGCTGGATTCAGGTCCCCAGCCTCTGTGCTGGCCGGGATCATCTCCCCTGCACCTCCTGGGTGATGTCTGCAGCTGTACGCGACCACGCTCACCCCAGCCAGCGCCCCAGGGCTCTCAGTGCCCCAAGGATGCGTCGTGCAAAACCAAAATCCCGCTGTGTGCCAGAGCCTGCCATGACTCACCAGCACTGGCAGCCGCTCGGGTGGGTTTTCCCAGCAAACTCAGTAATTTTGCTTCCAGAAGAGGCCACGTGCTGCTGCAGGGTGGCAAATTCAGGGCACTAGCAGGACGGATAATGCGACCCCCCTGTCCCAAAATCCCCCAAGGTGCCTGAGCCTTCTCCCCGCTCAGATCCAGGGTCGAGGTGGCAGGGCCGGTGTCCCTGGGAGCTGCCCTGGTACCTGCCCTGGCAGGCGGTGCCCGTCCTTGGGATGCGCTGCGCCCCACGGGGATGCAGAATCACATGGGTCAGTCTGGACCAGGCTTTACGTGAGCCCATCACCACTCCGTCCCCTACTCCAGGCTCATCCTAACCCTCACCTTCTCCCTGCATGGTCAACACCATTGCCCTCATTTCATCGGAGCGCTAAGCCAAGCCTGCCTTGCCCTCAGCCGGGCTGCTCCGGGAGCTCCCACTGCAACCCAACTCACTGGCGATTCCCTCCCTGTCCGAGATAAACCCTGCAGGCAGAGGAGTATCTCCCCTGCGCAGCAGCGCCTGCAGACCGCGATTGCTGGTGTCCGTCCCACC